GAGGAAGAGGCGATTTTACAACAAGGATAAAAATTCAGTAAAATGAACAACTTTGTGTCAAACAGTCACACTTTTTAAGCAAAAAACTGTAGTCAGTGTGACATAAAAAATAGCTTTTCATAACATGAGGTATCTCTCTAGCTAGCATTCACGAAATGTGTATTTTGGAATTTAGAATTCAGTTAAGCTGTTTTTATATATTAAATTATAGGAGACTCGTAAAAGTTCAAAGCATCTTCAAATTTGTAGGATAAAAACCAGTTGTACACTCAACGTATTCTCTCTTATCTATCGCTCAAAAGTTTAAACCGTTGATCGTTTTGTAGGAAAAAGTCTATAATTTCGGAAATTATATAAAATTCAATTCGCGGTGCAGCTATTTTTTTTAAACAGAAGTTAAAAATTTCTGATTTGGAAGATAAAAATAAATAATTGTTATTTCGACCACAGCAGTTTGAACCTGTAGTTGTGAACTTGCTGAATTTCTTTAAAATTTCATATTTCAGAAATTTTAATGTATAGTCGAAATCGCTTTATATTTAGCGTTAACAGATGTATAATTAATAAGTTTATTATTGTCGTTCAAAAAATCACAAGACAAATTCAAAACACAAACTAACATGAGTCTGCGACACAAGATTTTAAATAAGTTTAAACTAAAAGATAAATACATTTTCATTTATTGTCACATGCAACATCAAATCGAGCAATCATTTTAATTTGAGATTTTCATTTGCTCGTTATACTATTCTCACGCGCTAGTATTCAGTCAAAATCGATAATCTATCTACAAAAATTAGAACTGTTACCTGTTTTCAGGAAAAAGTCTATAATTTTTTAAAAGTGAGGTAAAAAAAAATTCTAACTTGGAGGAGAAACATGATTGTTAGTTCGACCACGGGAGTTTGCACGCAATTGCTAACTTTTTTTTTAAAATTTTATACTTCAGAAAATTTAATTTTGTAGTCGAAATCGTTTTTATATCTATAGCGTTAACAGAATGTATATTTAATAATCGCAATTCACAAACCCCAGACTTTACAACGTAAGATTAAACCAAATAAAAGTCTGATAAGAAAACCTTAAGTGTTAAATTTCACCTTTTCGAAACTTGAGGAGTTAAAATTGCTTAGTAATTGATACTTATGGCATTCCTATCTAAGGCCTGAGGCGATTCTCTGGGCTAAGTAAACGCTATCTTTGGCTGACTAAGGAATTTTGTTGTTTTGAAAGAGAAATGTACAGATGTTTGTGTCCGTGCGCAGAGGTGTCATGTTAGTAGTGATTTATTGTTTAACGGTGGTTATTTGAAAAAAAAGTGCAATCAGACGGAAGACAAATTGGTCATTACGTAGTGTATGTACCAGGTTAAGGTTAGGCCATAATTTTATTCCGATTTTCCTTATTTTAGTTCTATTACGAGTTCGTGGACTGTCTGTTAAGTGAGTAGTTGAGTGAATATACCCCCTGTCCATAGGTTTCAGTCCCTTTAGACAACTTAATGTAAGGTAGGCAAAAAAAAACTAGTTACTTCCACATTGGTACACACACTTCTGGAGCGCCGTGTATTTAAGATAATAAGATGTGTTTGTGACCGTGAGTGGATGTGTCATGTTAGTAGCGAATATTTATTGTTCAACGGTGATTTTTTGATAGAATAGCGCAATAATTCGCAATCAGACGGTAGACAAATGTACCAGGTTATAGTTAGAGCATAATTTTGTTCTGATTTTCCTAACTTATTTTAGTTCTATTACGAATTCGAGGACTGTCTGTGTTGGTTAAGTAAATATACCCCTTGCCCATAGGTTTCAGTCCCTTTACACAACTTGATGTAAAGTAGGCGAACAAAATTAGTGACTCCATATGGGTACACGCATTTCTGAAACGCCAAAAAGTGTGGGACTATCAGGACAAGTGTGGGAAAAGTGGGACAAGTATAAGACAAACAGGCCCAGTGGGATGCAAGCAGGACCAGTGTGAGACAAGCAAGCGATTTGTTGTCAAACAGTAAATATTTGAGATAATATTGTTCACAATGAAGCGGGTTAGGATGAGAAGGTGAATATCCGGTATCAATTTAAATAGTATTTTATGTAGGGCTATTGGTCTTTTATATAAATATAGATAGTAGGTTGTGAATATGAATGTATATATGGTATTTGAAAGAACTCTTCGTATTAGGATATTGGCATATAGACAGGTTAGAAATCGGGAAGGATGTACATTCTTAATTGTCGTTTAAACAAGCCTTCTGCGTATGTGAATATGGTCTAGCCCAGCCCTTATAAGTATACTCCCGAAGTATGTGAACCAAAATGGCGAACACCGAAACGTAGTATGTGTACCAGGTTAGGGTCGGGCCATAATTTACGGTAAAAACACTACGGGAGTCACTTGGCTATAGTCTCCAAACTCGTAATAGATTCAAAATAAGGAAAATTGGAATGAATTATGACCTAACCTGTTACACATACTACGTTCCGGTGTCCGCCATCTTGGTTCACATACTTCGGGAGTACCCTTATAAGAATACCAGCTGTTACATATCAGTAGGGCTGGGCATTTCGAATCAAATATTTGAATCGAATAGTAAATTATTCGAATCGATTCAGAGCGAAATTTCGAATCGCCGCCATCTTTTTTTTTTCTTTACGCTAATGGTCGAGGTGAATTTCTAAATTATTTTTTATTGAAGCCATATTTTTTCAACGCAATTCTGGCATATGACTCTTTTCTGAAGTCAGTTATTGATGAAAACGTGTTTTTTATTGTGTGTGAACGTTCAGCACTCTGTCTGAGTGATGTATTTTATGTTTCCAGTAATTTATGTGTCTGGAAAACCTAATACAATAAGAAAGTTACATATAATTTTATATCTCCCTAGTATTCGAGATTCGATTCGAAAAAAATATTCGATTCGATTCTGAAATCATCAAGTATTCAAAAATGCCCAGCCCTACATATCAGTAGCTGCTTGTAGAAAGTCTTATTCTGGATGAAAGCTTCAAACAATATTATGAGAAATGTCCTCCATGTATAAAGTTGGCACACTCATACCGATGGTATTATTGATGTAACAAATTTCAAAAATTTTTCAAGAGCCCTTGAAGGTGTGAGTTATGAGTCACTTATATGTCCTACACGAGAATTTGTTGTATTAACAGATAATGTAATGAGTATAGATGTCAGTATAGAGTATAGAGTATATCGTCTGCAGCAGGGCTTCCCAAACTTCTATGTTCGTGACCCTTTCTAATATATTGAAATTTTTTGTACCAGATGTCTGAGTTGGCATACTTATGTAAGGGTGTCGCTTCTCTGATCCTATTTATTTTCTCGAAATCGTGAGATTTGCACCAGTTTTGATAAATGTGTTTCGAATCAATTTCAAAAAGTACAAGAGATAAAGTACTTTATGTGAAGTTTGTGTATTCTCTGCGACTCCTGAGTTCGTTGTACGCTCCCCTATGGGGTCGCGACCCCAGTTCGGGAATATCCGATCTGTAGTATATAGCCTACAAAGGCAAGTTTGCTTAAAAGCAGTCTGAAAACATATAAACTAGCGTAGAAGGAAAGTTGTTAAGAGAGTTAAAAGCGATCTTTCAGAAGGGTTTCGTATAGATAAAGCATCAGTTTCAATTAAAAAAAATTATATTTCCTTCATTTCTAGTTATGAGATCCTTAGGTTGTAGATCAAGAAATCAAAATTGAAAAAAATTATTGGGTATATATATGGTCATGCATTATGTTTATCACTCTCGTCTCAGCCCATATAATTATAATTCTCGTCTAATTACCCTTATTTTGTCGTTAAATATCGGATAATAACAATTGTCAGACCAATTCTGCGTTTGTTTTGCTAACATGAAAGGAAAAAAAAGATGCGATGGCCTAGCGCAGTGGTTCCCAGCCTTTTATGGCTAAGGATGCTAGGCATGACTACTTACAAGTATTCGATTCTCATCCGATTCCTAAATTTTCGATTCTGATTCCGAATCTCGATTCCTTGACATATCTTTCCGAGAAAACATACTCACCTAAGCAATACCATATGAAATCAAACAAGAGAGCGATGTTCATAATTCTGGACGGACAAAAAAGCCAAAACTAAGTGATATTTGTATCCAATCTGTCACAAGAGACATGATCGTACAAAAAACGAATTCCTCAAAACCCACAGAGATTTTAAAAATAATCAAACGTAAAGGCCTTTTAGCGAAAAATATATACATAGTAAAGTTTGGGACATCGTAGCAACAACATAGCAGTAAAGCAGTTTACACATATATGTGAAGGAATTGCCACAAAACGTTAAATATTGTTTTCAATCCAAGTTTTTACCTCAAGAATCGATGCTACTCGATTCCGTGAAGAATCGATTTTATAATCAAATCCAGACTCGATTCCGCCATCCGTATTCATCACTCGTAGCACCCTACCGGAGGGTTTATGCACTCATGACCCCTGTTTTATCATTCCAGTGGTATTTGAGGTGTTATTTTGATTGGTAGATTCCAAATCCCATTATGTTCAAACAATTCATAAACAACAAAGCAAGAACGCTCTTTGAAATAACCTTTTCAACCAATGAAACTAGAAAATCAAGAAGTTTTCTCGTAAGGGAAAAAAAGTAAAATCAGTTTTAGGGGCTCCCGAAGTATACGAACCAAGATGGCGGACATCGGATGTAATATGTGTACTAGGTTAGGGTTAGGCCATAATTTTTGGTATAAATACTACGGAAGCTCTTGGCTAGTCTTCGAACTGATAATAAGACTAAAATAAGGAAAATTGGAAAAAAATTATCGCCTAACCCTAACCTGTTACCCATGTTACGTTCCGATGTCCGCCATCTTGGTTCGCATACTTCGGGAGCACCCAGTTTTGTGACCAGCATCGTGGGCCCTTTCGGCTGCTTTGCGACACCCTTGGGGGCCAAGCCAGCCCCCGTTTTGGAACCTCTGCTATATTCATTAACAATATGCTTCCATATTTTTATTCAGTTGTGAAGCCTTTAAACTTAACAGTTAAACACACGAAATGCCTTTATTTGCACCCGTGGACGTTTACCGACTTTATTTGCCAAAAGATATTTCGGATAAATATACAGTGAAATTCAAAGCCATCGGGGTAAGTTAATTTATAGATTTTGAAGTTGGGCTCAAATATGTGGATAAAGACTCTGGTTTTATAAAAAGGTGTGACGGAGTGGCGCACCGTGTTAGGGGTTAGGGATACGCTCACCACCGCACTTCTGATTACCCTGCGTGGGTTCGCAGGTTCGAATCCCATGTCTAGATTGTTATATGCAAGAGGATCGCTGGACTCATCGTCGCAATGGGTGATTCACGTAACCATCAAGTCCATGCTTATGAAAACAAATTACTGGCTACCTAATACTGTAATTCGACATTTGATTATGCCGTATTATTGATTTTTCTCATCCCCGGGATAAATATGTAAATCCTTAAATCCTATCATATCCGAAAAACCCTTGGTGTTTTCATCATGGTGACCGTACATTTGAACTCACGTACATTTGATCCCACGTGTATACCCGCGGGTTCAATCTATATGCGGGTGCTAAAACCCATGGGTTAGGGTTAGTATGGGTTCAAATATCCGTAAAACAAAAAAATGTCCATAGGTGCAATAGTATGCAGGTGCAATTGTCGTGGGTTCAAATGTACGTGGGTTCAAATGTAATGGAACCTTTCATCATTTAGTTTCAGTTATTTTGTGCGCCGCGATAAATAATCAACAGACAACAAACGTAAGCAAATAAAATAAATGTATTATAGCTTATTCACGTTAAATGTATGTGGTGGTGACCGTACATTTGAACCCATGTACATTTGAACCCATGCGTATATCCTCGGGTTCAATCTATACGCGGGTGCTAAAACCCATGGGTTAGGGTTAGTATGGGTTTAACTATCCGTGAAACAAAAAAAATTCCATAGGTGCAATGGCATACAGGTGCAATTGTCATGGGTTCAAATGTACGTGGGTTCAAATGTAATGGAACCGTATGTGGTCAATGCAAATGGTACGTTGTGGAGGTCCTTGGCCGTGGCCCTATAGGGGGATTTAAGCCCCCGGTTTGAGAAGCACACCTTAACCAAAAAGTCTGTTCTTCTTGCACAGGGTGATCTTAGTAAAAAAATATTCCTGGTCGTTTGGAATTGATATTCTAGAAAAGGCATAACTTTTGTGCAAAGCGTCCTTGATTACTGACATATTCGGATACCGTCATACGAGACTTGCTTGTAAAGCGAAATGGTCGAATATTTCATAATATATTGTCCCCGGTATGATGTCCCAGGAGAGACAAGAGAGCAACGCTCAAATATATGGACACGTGGAGTAGAGCGAAGCAGGGTTTACCTTTGACGTTACCGGTACCGTACCCTCAAAAAGTTCCGGGTTTTCAGTCGCAAGGATTTTCACAGTCAGCCGTCACGCTTGGCGGATTAAAAACCGTGTTCCCATAATTAAAAATTAATACAGCGCAATTTTGGATGAAATATTAGATCTCATAAGATTTATAGAAAATTCAGGAATAAATGAAAGTAATAGCCCTCTGGCAAAAAAATCAATCTTGAACCACTGAAAATTCCAAAGCAATTGGTCCAGTATTCGAAGAGAAAAGCGATTTTTTAATGATAATGACGAAAGAAAATAACAATAACAACAAAATTTTGAAACGATCGTTATGGCCACTAAACGTTTCCAATTAATCAATGCAAAGAACTGAATATACGCCCCGTGAATATTATCAACTTGCAAACAAATCTCAAAATTATATCTTTCGTCAAGTCCTCACAACGGTTAAAAGCATTTGGACAGCAAACGCGTTATTTTGTAGTCACGGTGCACAAAACACACCTGTTATAAATGCCATTGAAAAACAAGAGAGCTATGCTCAAATACATGGACACGTAGAGCACTTTACCAATTTCCGAAAATAATACCATAGTCCACCGTTCGGCATAAAAAAACTTTCCACCTTTGCTAAGCACTAAACTAACCCCACGGGCAAACGTCGAGCACGGAATCAGCTGATGTACGTCCGCAGAACGTTCGGTGACGTCATAGCAAACAAAAAAAGATTCCCACGGAGCTAACAGAAATATTTGAAATAAATAAAAGGGTACTCCTGAAGTATGCGCACCAAGATATCGCATAACCTGAACCCTAACCTGGTACACAACCTGAGTTCAGGTCTAGGTACGCATACTAGGTACGTTCCATCTAGGTACGCATACTTCAGGAGGTCCAATAAAAGTAATAGCCTACTAGAATACTAAATTCCATCTTTAACCACTGAAAATTTTGAAGAAATTGATCCAGTAATCAAAGAAAAAAGCCACCGTTTAAGTTTTCCTCTAGGTGTCCAGAAATAATTCAAAACAATCGTTATGTCCACTAAAGTGTCCAATAATAATAATAAAATACGCAAACAGAAGTTCGGGAGGTAAATATATTATCTTCAATTCTGTAGATGTTATTAGAAAATATATGAACTCTGTTTTTTTGTTGGTCCTGTTATATCCCATCATTGTGATTCACCAAAAAGCTTCATCAAATTACCGGAACTGATAACGTTTCTGCGGTTTCGATGCGACGACATAATCACTTTCGCATTCTTATTGGTTTCGCGCAATTTGTGACTTAAAAAAACACAATTATTTCTAAATTTAAAAGATTTTTTCACAGCTGTGCGACCTTGAATCTAATCAGAATTTAGATCGATCTTTTGTGGAATTCAAAAAAGTCAAAATAAACTATTTCAATGAGAATTTGATCGAAGCCGGGTCACGCGCAGTCACTCAGAAAGAACGAAGACTCGACTTTGTGCAAAGTTACCGACAATCACTGAAATCCCAAGATCTATGTGCACTCACACAGAAGTAAAGGAGGCTTACTTTCGTACAAATTTTGGGTAAACCCTGGAATTTCAAGAGCTGCGTTCACTCACTATAAAGAGGAAATGAGACTCATCTCTGGGCAAAGTTATGGGGCGTTCCTCGGGCCACAACCCGACCCGACAAGCCATTTAGTGTGTCCCATCAAGCATGAAAACCCTAATCCAACATTTTATGTTCGAAAAGGCGCTCGCTCACATGAATAAAAACGCTTTATTTGCTCTTGTCGATGCGTTGAATCTTTCGTCGTTCTGAATTCTCTTCTTTTGTCATTCCTGCTAATATTTTTTTTTGTGTGGCCCAAAGTAGATGTCTGAAGTTGGTTATATGGCAGACCGACTAAAAATACATACCCCTGCTATGAAACAAACATTGGTTGTACGACGCTTTGTTACGTATCAGTGGCGTAGCCAGGAATATACTTACGTCACATTTACTGATTCGGAAACGACTCTAAGCGAATTAACGAATACTCACACAAAAGTAAATCAGACAACCATATTTATTCTTCTTTTCTAATTTCAGTTCATTCATATTATAATCGCCACCATCTCAATCGTGATAGAAGGTGGGGCGGTCGTGTTCTACATCAATAGGATGGCTTATTATCCAAGCATCGCTCCAGGAATATGGGCAGGCGCACTGGTAAGTAGCCTACATAATGTAGCTTAGTCACGTATAGGAATATTGATCACCTCATTGGGGAGGGAGTTGTAGTAGCTGGTCGGTTACGGCTTCGTCCGCCATCTAGTCTATGCATCTGCAACAAAATACCTGTGTGACTAAACCCATACACGACATAAACTGGTAACTGGACGAGAGGCCGTGGTTTCGTTACATGAGTGAACCGTTTTATCGGATTTCCTCTCACACGGGATAAATATGAAAATCCTAAAAAAACATTTTCCTGAAAATAGAAACAGCTACCTTGCATAAGTGAATTATGTGCATCGCTGAATCGATTGGATGAGGACGAAATTCCATTGAATTTACTTTATTTTACTACTAACGTACTAAAATTACTGTTCCTTTGCAGTTTTTATTTGCTGGGATATTTGCAATTTTATCAGCGGGAACTGGAAAATATTGCCATGTAAGTTATATATTTTCGCTTTTACACATTTCTAGAAGATTGCAAGTTTTCCTCTGTAAAATGAGAGTTTGACTTCTGTATACGTAACGTAACGTATGTGTACTTGTGAGGCTGCATACACATGCGCACTCCGAGAGTAGCGCTGTTTTCCCGACCCTTGACCACAAAACAATTCCCCCTATACTTTACCATTGCAAAATTCTCGATACTTATTTTGAGAGTGTTATGGAGAGTTGGCGCTTTGAAACAGTTTTACATGTTCAAAACCATCATTCTCGTTAAAAATAATCAACCACGTGTCGTTTTTGTTGACCCTATTGATGATTGGTCATTTACAGAAGGGAATAGATGCTCGGAAAACATCCATTGCGCTTAATTTAGATAAGGAACGATCGCAGTTTTTCCAATGTCAATATATCATTTTCCGTCATATGCGTAATTCTTGCTGCGTTCGAAGATCGAACATCAATTAGTTAGTTAGCATATGCCCGGTACTAGAACAACCTTACCAAACAGCTTATTTCTCAAAAATTATTATTTAAAGTCGTCTAGATTTCACAATATGTTACATTTGCCCACATCGAAAATTCATTTTTGTTTTCCAATATCGTACTGTATAACTGGTGGTCTCGTTTTTTTCGAACCTAAATTCATATTTTAACATTTTGAGTAATAGCCAGCATCACCTTACCCAGTAGCATATCATATCACCAATTAATTCATTTACATTTCCAGTCTCGCACTGTGATACTGGTATAGTCTCTGGGTGCTTTTTTCGAACATAAATTTACTTTACGTAATAGCCAGCATCACATTACCAAACATCTCATTACTCGAAAATTACTAATCAGTATAACTCTAGATTTTCACAATATCTTCCAATTACCCAAATCATCAATTCATTTTCGTTTCTCAGTTTCGCACTGTAGAACTGGTAGCTTTTTTTTTCGAACATAAATTTAGTTTAGGTAATAGCCAGCATAATATTACCAAACATCTCATTGCAAAATTATGAATTAGCCTCGTCTAGATTTTCACAATATCTTCAAACTACCCATTTAACCAATTTATTTTCGTTTCCAGTCTCGTACTGTAGAACTGTGGAATATGGACTGTTTTTCAATTTTAATTCTTTTGTAATAACTTTTCAGGTAATAGCCAGCATGGTGTTCGCAGTTTTGTCATTCCTCGGTGGATCTGTTGTCATCTGCTGCAACGCCTATTTTGCAAGATTGTTTATGATCGAGAGAATGGTGAATATGCTATTGTTTTTATCTGTGAATTTTTTGTGCACTCCCTACTTTTCTCTTTTGAAAAGGTTATAGATACATGCAAAATCAGTGTTTCTCAGCCCACGTGTCGCGACCCAAAATGGGTCGCCTGGGAATTTCCTTTGCCAGTATTCGAGCCTATCCGTGAGTCGCAAGATTTTATAAAATTTATTTAAAAAAAAAAAAAAAATTCGGGTCGCTTGAAAGAAAAAGGCTGCGACTGCTCCAGCGTATGATTAAACTTCGAATTTTTAGGTTGTCATGGAAACGGTGGTACCAAAGTTATTCCACACATACATTTCAGATATACACAGGTTGAGCCAAAAATATCTTGCCATTTTTTACATTCAGAATGTAGAAATATGACAACTTTTTTTTGGTCCAGTATGCAAAATCAGTTCCTTGAAGTTTTTTTATATATTTATATATCATAAGCACTTCGCAATGAATGCATTTCGTGCAGAACAAGTGACAAGCATTTTATTCCGACTCATTACTTCTAATGGTGACATACATGTTTCGAGATTAATTAAAGTCGAATAAAATCCTAAACAGAATCCCTACTGTTGATTCAAAAAAAGCGGTCTACACAATTTAATCTAGACATATTCTTTGCTGGTTGTTTGATCAATAGTGTGAACGAAGTTGCCATTTACCTGATGCAAGAAAATTAGACAAATTATGGGATAATCGATACAAAATCGTCATAAGATCACGTAATGTGCACGGTATTTCTTTGCCATGATAAACATGTTGTTAAATCGTTAGACTCAACTATGTTGGTAACGTGTAAGCTATAAATTTGGGGATCAATTTTCTAACCGCCAATTTCACAGATGCAGTAATAAATTGGGCAGACAATGCCGAAGATTTTGGTCCAAGTAATAAAAATAGCTTCTTGCCTTGTAGTTACTAGAGATGTACCGATACCGCTTTTGTCGCCGATACCGATCCGATACCAGCTAAAAAAACGATACCGATACGCCGATATCCGAAAACGACCGATATTGCCGATACTCCGATACTGATATTCCGATACTGATATTCCGATACTATGTGATTATCACCTCAATTGTGCAGGGCAGACGGTTTAACTTTAAGACAATAGTCTTTGAGCATAATTAATAGTGCACATTATTTCGGATCAATTTCAAGAATAGTATTCTAACCTATTTTTTAAAACATTCTGAATCATATTGAGAAGCTAAATATATCGGAAATATCGGTCTAAACTTAGCCGATACCGATACACTACCGATACCGAAAAATTGGCCGATATTGCCGATACCGATACATCGGTACATCTCTAGTAGTTACTGCTCATATAATTCGGAGAAAAACGCTCAAAACAAGAAAATTAAAGGTTATCTAGTTGGTTTGGGTTAGGAATATAGATCGTCCTGTAAACTCAAGTTATCAAATCATTCGAAAACTCAACTGAATAATTACTGGTTTGTTATTTTAAAACATGGCGTGGGTGTTTTTCTCAATCTCATATTTTTGCATTAGTGGCGAGGGCTTTATACGAAAGATCCCTATTCCCCATAAAAATTAGAAGCTATGGGAGAAATACTATACCGTGTTAAAAACGTCATATATAACCTATGAACGGCTTCAACATAAGTTTGCCTGAAGTTACTAAATTATTTCGAACCTTATAATTACGTACTGTATTGAAGTGTTAACACATGCTTACAGTTTAAAAACGCAGGAAACTATCAATTGTGTCAAAGTATAATTATAGAGTTGATGCCCTGCGTTGTTTCAAAACTTGAAAATGGAAATTGGACACGAATAGTTAATGTTAGATAGTAATAACTATTGAGGTACACCTTCGCTTCGAATGAGAATATCGTTAGACAAGTGGTTCCTCTGTTTACCCTGATTTAGTGTGTTCGCATTCGGATCCCATGTGGGATAATTATGTGTGAGAGGATGGCTGTACTCCTCGCCGTCGTAAGGTGGTGATTTACATAATCGCTGGTCGGTTGCGGCTTCTTTCACCATCAAGTCCATGCATCTGGAACGAATAACTGGCTAACTAATCCCATACTCGACATGAACTGGTAACCGGACAAGAGGTTGTGGTTCGTCATTTCATTGAGCAGTCTTATCGGCACGGGTATACAGTTTATCAATTCATTGTTTCGACAGAAACCGATCGCCATATCGATGTATGATGAAGACACAAAACTTATTCCTCCACTGTTGATACTGGTTGCCGCCTCGTTCTGTGAGCTCATACTTTGCATCACACATTTCGGGATTGGTTGTGCAGCTACTAGGACTTGTTTCTGCTGCGTACAGAAGGTTAGTGCTAGCTATACGATTTCTGAAGTTGACAGACCAGGAGTGGACAAGATTTTTGGACCAAGATCCAATGATTTTGCCCATCTAGACTTGCGGACCATAAAAGGGTGACGTAAAAGGTTTCATGAAAACATTTCATGAGTCATACTTACAGTGATACAAAAGCAAAGATGGAAAACAATAAGCATCGTGCCAAAACTGAACTTAATTTAATAAATTCCTTAAACTATTTTTTAGCTAAAACAGCAAAATTTGGTTTTAGTTTGGTTATGGCAGAATCTGGCGGGCCAGATTGAAATACCCAACAGGCCGTATTTTGGCCATGTCAGGTCCAGGCTAAGTATTTTTTGTCATATAAAGCACAAAGTTCGGACATCCAAGCCGCGCTGCTTTGGTCCGTGTACGTTTTATGACATCGACTGCCAAAGACGAGAGCAAAAAGCTTCTAATTAAACCAGCATTTGGCGACTTTCGGTATAAGTCGTGCCAAAGTGGCATATTCAAGAATCAAGATGATAATTCTATTTGTGAGGATTTTGAATTAGAATTATTCATACTTAAGGGACTGCTATGTCGAAATATTATCCTTTTAGGGCGCTCCAGAAGTGTGTGTACCAATATTGAGGGAACTAATTTGTTCGCCTACTTTACATCAAGTGATTACTACGGGCAGGGGGTATATTCAATTGGCTAACACAGACAGTCCCCTGAACTCATAATAGAACTAAAATATGGAAAATCAGAAGAATTAACCCGGTACACACACTACGGGAGTACAAAAATTTGTATATATAAGTATTTTTCGTAAGCATACCCTACTTTATTTCAGAGAGAAATGAGAGACACAGAAATACGACTAAATTGTAAGTATCCGTTGCTGTTCTGTTTTGTTCATTTTCAAATACATTTTAAGGTACTCACTGCAGTAGAAATAGAAACAATTAACGGAAAATATACTCGGAGCGGGCGGGCAAAACTGTAGTGTCAATCAACCCCTAATTAGGGCTGGGCATTTCGAATCGAATATTCGAATCGAATATTAAATTATTCGAATCGGTTCAGACTGGAACTTCGAATCGCCGCCATCTTGTTTTTATCTTTCCGCCAATGGTCGAGGTGAATTCCCCAATTTTTTTTTTTCATTGAAGTCATATTTTTTCAACGAAATTCTAACATATGACTATTTTCTGTAGTGAGTTATTGATAAAACGTGTTTGTTATTCTGTGTGAACGCTCAGTAATCTATCTGAGTGATTTATTCTATGTCTTCAGTAATTCATTTGTTGAGAGAGGACCAATTACTATGATAAAGTCGCTTACAATTTTATATTTTCAAGTATTCGAGACTCGATTCGAAAAAATTACTCGATTCGATTCTGAAATCACAAGGTATTCGAAAATGCCCAGCCCTACCCCTAATACCCCTATATTAACGAAAAAAAATTCAGCGCCAAAAGTTATGTCATGGTACTGTGTTTACTGTGTGAACTTTTTCTAAAGCATTTTTGGACCTGCTTTTCATTGGTTTGTTTCCTGCATACAAAAATTCTTTATGGAAACGATGGAATATTTCTCAGATCTATCGACCGATTTGGCCTCCGTTATGATAGAATCTGAACTTTGTGTCAGAAATTAAATAGACGCCTCTGATTATGAATAGATGCCCCAAATTGAGTTTAATTATATGGGTGTCCATAAAAATCATTGCAATTTCGTTATGAAGTCAGTTCTCAATATATCTTAACCAGGTTTTTTTTTTTTTTAATCAGTAATTGTCTAAGTATTTTCACTTCATTTAATACATCTGTGAGGCTTGTGGTATCGATAAATTCCCTTCGCAATTTTAGATTTCAAGACTTTATATACATTATTTTATATTCAGATCCTCGTCCTTTCGTGAGAACGGTGTCGAGTCACGTGACAAGAGCTGACAGCTTCAAATACCAAGGACCATACGACACAGTAACAACGAATTATTATCCATCCTACAGTAGGCGAGAATTCAATGTTTAAAGACTTGGTTATCACTTGCTCCGGACGAAATTTAGGAATATGTCTTTAGTTTCACAGCAAGGGCGTGTCAAACTTTTCCGATGCCCGGGGCGAATTTGTGATACTGATGCCCCCTATACCTGACTCCAAAAATAATTTGGGAGATAAACAAAATATAGATGTTGTTATACATGAGAATTAATAAACTAAAGGTCAAGTGAGAGTAAAAATAGTCGTATTATTTTTATTTAAATTATCAAACTAAGTAACAAACTCACCGCTACAACGTGCTGCCTGGGGCCGCCGACGATATGCCCCCCTCTAGATGCGCCCCTGATTTCAGTTATTCATGCCGCACACTAACGCAAATATATTTCTGTAAGGCTTGGTCTGCTATCTTTACTCTTGCTATAGAATCGTTTGCGTACATATTCGCCGGAACAGCATAGAAGAAGGACGAGTACTTGGCCCGCAGAAATGAATCGATCGGAAGTTCAGGGAAGTAATTTTCAAATGGGGGAAGGGTGTCTGAAATTTCGGTACTCCTGAAGTATGCGCACCAAAATGTCGCACAACCTGAACCTTGACCTGGTATACAACCTGAATTCAGGTTGTGCACCATCTTGGTGCGCGTACTTCGGAAGGTCCTGACATTTTTAATTGGCAAGTTAGACCAGGGGTGGGCAACTTCTCTAGTCGGCGGCCAGATGTTGGAAAATGAAGTCCTCGGTGGGCCGGATTATGTATTCAATATCTTAATCACATATTTATTCGCTAATGCAAGAAAGAAAATCATAAACCGCGTTTAAAGTAAAGTTTATACTACAAAAAATAGAGACCAAAAACACATATTGAATTTATCACAATGTACTAAAAGTGTAATAATGTAATATCATATTGTACTGATGTACAGTCAGCGGGCCGATCAAAATTTTGTCGAAGGCCGGTTCCGGCCCGCGGGCCGTATGTTGCCCACCCCTGAGTAAGACCGTAACAGCTAGCGTGGGTTCTCAATAGTCTTGAGGGTCTAAAGAGCGTTTCAAGCTATCAAAATTTCTATGTAGCATCCTCCCCCACTCCTGGCTACGTCCATGGACAAGTTATCTTTTGTTGACCTTCTTGTTCTGTTTGTGATGTACCATTTTCCCTAACGCGACCTAGCCCTTTACGGCCTACGCGACTGTTGCCAAATTCCTACACTATGATTTTTTTTTTATAAAATACCAGCTAGCGGGTTTGAAGATCTAAAGATCGTTTCAAGCTATAAAAATTTCTATGTAGGATCATCCTCCACCCCTGGCTACGTCTTTGGACAAGTTATCTTTTGTTGTTCTTTTTGTGGTGTTCCAGAAGTATGCACACCAAGATGTCACACAACCTAAATCCTAACCGGTACACACATACTATGTTCAGGTTGTGCGCCATCTTGGTGCGCATACCTCTGAAGGTTCCTTTTTGTTCTGTTTGTGATATATCATTTTCCCTAACGCGAGCTAACACTTTACGGCCTACGCGACCGTTGCCAAATTCCTACACTATGATTTTTTTTTATAAAATTCGAAATGCAACATGAAATTGTTGTGTGTATTATATTAATTCTACTTCAGACACAATTCATAGCCAATTCCTATTTAGCTTTACAGTTCTCGTTCAAGCATTTTTGTGGCAAATGCCATATGAATATACGGACCTGCAGTTTAGTGCACAATACCCTAGTTCTAATAGCTTCTAAACGTATGGACCTTTCCCCGACCTTTGACCCCCGGATATTTCTTCCTATACTTTACCATTGCAAAATTTTCGGGGCTATTTTAAGAGTGCTTTTGCGAGTTGGCTCCTGTAAAATGGGGTATGTGTTACAAATCATCATTATGATTCATTGCGTACAACAATATTTTTTTTAAAAATACCGGTAAAGAATTTCAGGCTAGTCTATCACAGCTATTTCTACACTAATTTTTATTACTGCAATCAAATTAAAACTCCTAGGAAGACAGAGTGATCATTGAATTATCTGATTTATATTTAAGTTTCCGAAACACAACTGAAAACTAACGAATAGAGTTCAAAAACGCGAAAACGAGGTAATGTTTACAACCACACTTGAAAATCTGTCTGAGTGAGAAAAGTGTCTGAGCGGATGCGAAAAGGGGGCATTGTTACGTCACTTTTTGCATCCTGCTGATTGGCCAATGTCACGAAGTAAACAAGGAAAACGATGCTCGGGGAAAGGTCCATTGTGCACTACTCTTTGCAATATGCAACCCGACAATTAGGCTAAGCATAGCTAATACGTTGGATTTCTGTGTACCTTATATGCAGTAAATTTTCTTCTGCATTTGTTTTATTTGAATATATTCTATATCAATCATTCTTTTATTATTATTAAACTTATGAAGTTGCAAATTATGTGTATACGTGATCTTTAAGATGAAGCAGTCAATTATCTTTAGGGCAGGCAATAATAAACAGGAAAGCGATGCTCAAATATATGGACACTAAAACCAAAAGGAAGTAACCTATCTTACTTTTCACATAACCGGTATCCGTCAAAATACTTCCGATTTTTCTATAGCAAGAGAGAGAAGTCGCTGAACCGCTACAAATAAATTATATTAATTTTGAAGAGGACATCACGCCAAATTGAAAAGTGAAAACCAATTACATAGAGCCCACAGAAAGTTTTGAAATTATAACGGTAATAGCCTTCTAGCGAAAGATACAATTTTTAACCAGTGAAAATTTCAAAGCAATTGATCCAGTGGTTAATGAGAAAAGCTATTCTTTTCATGCGGTAACAACAGGAACAAAAATACAAATAAGAACAACAACATAATAACGAAACGATCCATTGGTCCACTTCATGTACAAGAAAGAGATAATCAGGCGTCATTTCACTCATTTTGTGTAGCTGTTTGTATGTAGTCTAATTCTCCAAATAGTTTTTAGCTCGGCGTTGTGAAGCATCGTGCTAAGCGTTAGGATTACGCTCGCCACCGCATCTTTGATTACCCTTCGTGGGATCGCAGGTTCGAATCCCATGCGGGGATGATCATGTGCGAAAGGATTGCTGGACTCCTCGCCGCCGTAGGGTGGTTCACGTAACCGCTGGTCGGTTACGGCTTCCTCCACCATCAAGTCCATGCCTCCGAAAACAAATACGGTAACTGGCTAACTAATCCCATACCCGACCTGGACTGGTAACCGGGCGAGAGGCCGTGGTTCGCCATATGATTAAGCCGCCTTTCCTATTCCCCCCGGGATAAATATGTAAATCCTATCCTTACCTATGGCGTCTTTCACAGTTGCCTTACTGTGGCATAGGCATAGGCCTTACTGTGTTTGATAGATCAGAAGACCCAGAATTTCAGATAAGTTATTTATTGAAAACGGCAACTCAATACACGAAACATCAAAAAAAAAAAAAACAGGCACAAGAGAAAAGCAGCCGGCCCTGCATCTGGAAACAAACAAAAAAGCTATGCTCAATTATGTGGACAGTCAGAAGAAAGTAAGTGAGTACGTTTATTTTAACTAAATACTTTATCATAAATTCCTAAAAATTATTTGCGGTAACTACCAGTAGGGGTCTTACTACTTACTGAATACAGCGCGAAACACCGCAAAACAGAGGGAAACCAGCGCAAAACAGAGAGGAACAGCGCAAATCAGGAGACGCAGTCATTACCACCTCCTGCCACGAAAGAACCACGGCGCCTTTCGCCATGGTTTTATGGCGCTATTTCCGGTATATTTACAAGGTTATGTACCGGATTATAGGTCATCATGCGAAATTTTATCTACCTTTTTGGTGCTCCAGAAGTATGTGCAGCAATATGTCGCACAACCTGAATCTGCTACACACACTATTTTCAGGTTGTGCGCCATCTTGGTGCACATACTTCTGGAGGTCCCTTTCCACCTAACCCTAAAGCCAACCATATACATATGGAAAATGTTCTAAATTATGGTACCCAAAATGTGTCACCAGCATGGGCAGACCTGCCATTACAGCATCACTGGCTACATACGTTGGTTTGTGTTTTTAATTTGCTGCTGTGGTACTCCAACTCAAAACAAGGTGGCCCGAACTCATTGCAAAATTTTTTTCTGCTTCACACTGTTTCCCTCTGTTTTGCGCTCTTTCGCTCCTGTTTTGCGCTGTTTCCCCACTGTTTTGCGCTCTTTCGCGCTGTATTCAGTAAGTAGTAAGACCGCTACCAGTAGCCGTATCGGAAAACTAACAACTCGACTACATCACCAGAGACGGGCCCTACTAAAAAGGTAGGTATCACTCACTAAAAAGGCAGGTATCAGTAGTAAATGACTAAAAAGGTAGGTATCAGTGTCTAAAAAGGTAGGTATCAGTAGTAAATGACTAAAAAGGTAGGTATCAGTAGTAAATGACTAAAAAGGTAGGTATCAGTAGTAAATGACTAAGCGGACATCGGAACGTAACATGGGTAACAGGTTAGGGTTAGGCGATAATTTTTTTCCAATTTTCCTTATTTTAGTCCTATTATCAGTTCTAAGACTAGCCAAGGGCCTCCCGTAGTATTTATACCTAAAATTATGGCCTAACCCTAACCTAGTACACATATTACATTCCGATGTCCGCCATCTTGGTTCGCATACTTCGGGAGCCCCCTTTTTAGTCATCTACTACTGATACCTACCTTTTTAGTCATTTACTACTGATACCTACCTTTTTAGTCATCTACTACTGATACCTACCTTTTTAGTCATTTACTACTGATACCTACCTTTTTAGTCATCTACTACTGATACCTACCTTTTTAGTCATTTACTACTGATACCTACCTTTTTAGTCATCTACTACTGATACCTACATTTTTAGTCATTTACTACTGATACCTATGATACCTACCTTTTTAGTAGGGTCCCCAGAGACAACTCGATTGCCAGGGATAGAAGTAACGGTACGAGGACTGTCGTAGCTTTTCCAGATCATGTGGCGATGATGCATCCTTCATGGTTCTGTTCCAGCGTGAATTGAAATACTTGATTCAAGTCACGCCTGTATTACCAGATTAGGTACTGCAGTCTCGCGTTTTTCATAAAAAAATTTTCATGTCCACTTTCGCTAAGCACGCGGTCCACCGACGTTCGCAGAGCACGAGATCCGCCGATATTCTTTTACGGAACCACCACAAGGTGGCAAATTTTAATTTAAGGGTACAGACACTATTCAATCTTGAACATTATGTAGACTTTTAATTGACGTTCATGCTATTTTGCACTGGTTTATTCTCAGTTCATATTCTACTGCAAAGAGTTCTACATCAAAACAAAACTTTTTGGCATTCACACTTTCAACTCCACAACTGAAAATCAATAACGAAGATTCAAGTTGCCAGAAGTATAAAAGATTTTCAACAGTGTTTCATTACTACAGATTACATGTATATCATCCAACTCCATAAATATATTATTCAGTAGTATGTCAGTCATAAATTACAGTAAACACTCATATTCAAATTTTATATCTAATATCTAATACTAGAAGATTTTATTCTGAGCAATCGCTTTAAATATCTGGCAACGCAAAGTCCAACATCTGTGTAGTTAGTGCAGTCATCAATAATGAAACGATTTATCGTAAGATATTGGTAAAACATGTCACGTATTATCAGTGGCGCTGCTTTACCTGTTTGTGTGCGCCGATAAAACTTATTAATTCTTTAAAATAAAGAATAATCGTGCATGAGGGCGGCACAAAGACTTAGTTTAGGCTGTTGTGGACCGACTTTTTCGATGGCAGACGTGCAGCAGCAACCGAATGGGTCCCCGTCTAGAGGGGAAACGATATGGTCTTATCAATTTCGGATTGTACTGATTGGAGACTCTACTGTAGGAAAATCAGCGCTGTTAAGGAGATTTAGCGATGGAGATTTTTTAGAGGTAAATTGATTGTGTATAAAGGTCCCCGATTTAAATAATAGTTTGATGCGAAAATTCGCATTGGCTGATTGGTGTGTTGTTTAGTTCCACATGCACTTCTAGTTGGCCTGGCTCAACAATTTTTGCATATGTCCATCCTAACCCCCACTTGACTACGTCACCGAAAAATTATGTCTTTTCGACGTCACAGTGGCGTAATAAGGCTTACCAAAGAATGCGAATGGTCGTCAAAAATGTGCAGACGGTCACCCGAAATGGAGCAAGCTATTTCTCTCGTTTTCTCCTCACAACGATCACGATAGGCAATAGGAGAGAGATCGCCGAGTTTGTTATCGAACTTTAGCGAGTTCGTTATCGGCAGCGCAGATATCATTTTGGGCGATCGTAATTGTACTTTGGCAAGCCATATGATGTGATGGTGACGTCGTAGTGACGTAATTTATGGATGGCATAGTCAGGTTGGGTTTAACATATAAATAACATATGCCAAATTCGTTATGCTACGCCCACTGGAAGTACTTGTGCTACTAAACTATACTAGACCCCGAAAATTTGCATGGGTGCGTTGTTTTCAATTTTTTCGCACTCCAAAAACGATTGTGGCTGAATAGGAGAATCCACTGATTACAGTACTATAATATTGTACCGTAAAGCTGTATGCTATTAAACCCCTTTATACGTTTTTGCCTGTCATTGTTTTCGTGTTGTTTCATAGAGAAAGGGGCAATTTGAAATTGGTTTAAAAATAATTTTTTGATTCATATAGGACAGGGGTGGGCAACTTCTCTAGTCGGCGGGCCAGATGTGGGAAAATGAATTCCTTGTTAGGCCGTATCATTACATGAATAGTATTTAATATTTTAATCATATATTTATTCGCTAATGCGAGAGAGAAATTTATAAATCAGGTTTAAAGTAAAGTTTAAACTTCACAAAAAATAGAGACCATAAAACACATAATGAATTTATCATAATCTACCAAAAGTGTGATAATGTAATATCATAATGTACCGATGTACAGTCAGCGGGCTGGTCAAAATCTCGTTGCTGGCGGGACCCGGCTCGCGGGCCGTATGTTGCCCACCCCTGATATAGGCTATGATATTTGTAATTCAAATTCTTAGATCTCAGACCCCACTGTGGGTGTCGACTTCTACGCCAGATTGATTGAAATTGCTCCTTCAATAAGAATTAAATTACAGTTATGGGATACTGCTGGACAAGAAAGATTCAGGTAATGTTGAATAATACAGTAGTAAGCACATATTTGAAGCCTGCCATGATTTTCTTCTTTAACATCATGATGCGCCACACTGCCAAGCCAATATATCTTAACCAAATTTTTAGTATTTTAATCAGTGTTTATTGAAGTTTTGGGGCTCCCGAAGTATGTGAACCAAGGTGGCGGACATCGGAATGTAATATGTGTACTAGGTTAGGATTAGGCCATAATTTTTGGTATAAATACTACGGGAGGCTCTTTGAACTGATAATAGGACTAAAATAAGGAAAATTGGAAAAAAATTATCGCCTAACCCTAACCTGTTACCCATGTTACGTTCCGATGTCTGCCATCTTGGTTCACATACCTCGGGAGCATCGAAGTTTTTTTACTTCATTCAATACATCTGTACGGGCCAACAAACTGTATATGATATCTGTAAGATTGGATTACTTATTCATTCCGATCAATTTCCCTTGCTGGTAAAAAAATGTCAAGACTTTGTGAACACCCTGTATTATTCTACAGGTCAATAACAAGGTCTTATTACCGCAACTCCGTAGGAGGCGTCCTAGTCTACGATGTTTCAAGTTCAGCAAGTTTCTCTCACATAGAGAGGTGGATGGAGGAGGCCAGTGCTCACGTCGCTCCGAGATCGATTTTATTTATTCTTATCGGACAAAAATCAGACTTGGAAGAAGAAAGAAAGGTAATATTTTGTATTCAATCGGCCAGTTCTTTCGATGGTCGCGACTCATTTGCAAATGTTACAAACAGTTTTCAATTAGTTCGGGAAATTGTAGCATTTATCATTACGTAACAATAACACTTAACAATTAGAATTATTTGTTGTGTTTCGTTAATAATTTTAGTATGCGCCCCTACATGTTGGAGAGTGTAGATAGGCTAATAGGCAGATGAGTAATTTGTTGAATTCGGGTAGACTTCGAAATGATCTGATAATATCCAATATGCAAGCTGAAGTTTTGCATTAATAGTAAATTGCATTGAGGATACCATGATTTTTTTCTTTTATATTAACATTTCTTTGTGGTTCTAATAAATTGGCAATAAAAGTAGGTCACAGTCAAACATAAATAATTCAAATTATATTTGATTATCCAATTCAGGCACACCTTAAAGTTATTTTAACCCCATATGACATATGCAAACTACGGCTCGTGGGATAAATCTGGCCTGTTGGGTTTTCACTCTGGTCCGCCTGATGCTGCCACAATCAAACTAAAACCAAATTTCGATGTTTTAACTAAAATATAGCTCAAGGAATTTGTTGAGATCACGATTGAATTTTGTTTTGACTCATTGTTGTCCACTTTTGCTTTGTAACACTGTAATTGTTCATAAAATGAAACTTTTTATGTCACACTTACATGGCCCACCAGTCTAGGCGGGCAAAATTTTTGGCCCCTGGCCCCAAAACCTTACCCATCTTTGCCTAGCTCATATTCACCAGAGTAATGTGAACTAAGAGTATTGATTGGTATTAAACAGTTGATTAACTTTTGTTCAGCTTTCCAGTTTGTCAATAATGTAATGGCTATTTGGTGCCATCATTATCCCTTGAGAATACTACTTATGTCAGTCTTCGACATGTTACTAGTCCGTTAACAAATGAATTTAAATATCAAGGGTTTCAAAATGTGAACATGCTAAGCAATTCAAGAGTCTTGCTGCACACTTTCACAAATGTATTTATGTAAGGTTACGTTTGATGAAAAAAAGACAAGTAGTTTACTAGAATGTAAATTGTTGTCTGAGGAAGTCTGATTTCTGTCAGATGAAACGTTACAGAAATAGGTTTGTGTTAGTGTGCAGCTGGACTCATGAATTGCATAGTATGGTCATGTTTATTCCTGCTACAGCATCCATCCAGCAACGAGGGCCTATATAAATGAAATTGAATTGCTTGGATCTTGGACAGACATGTGGTATTTTCATCACTATAAGGCTGTCTGGAACACTCAGTCGACTTGATTTTTGTAATTTATATAGAAAAAAATTTTCTATCACCATTTAAAGTTGAAATTTTGAATCTTGAATTCTTGACTTCAGGAAGTTTGAAAAGACGAATCAAACTTTAATGAAATCATGCCGATCCTGACTCCATAGCCCTACTTCTATCATAGCCTATACTATTCCTTGACCTTGGCATGATTTTCACAAATAAAAGACTCTTGTGTTTTGCTTTTTTAATAAAATTTATTTTATTTTTATCACAGGTAACACAAGAGCAAGGAGCGTTATTTGCACGGAAACATAAAATGCCTTTCATTGAAACGTCTGCAAAGACTGGATATAATGTTGAGGAAGCTTTCCATGTGTTAACTGAATGTATATATAGGTAAGTTATAAAAAATATTAGCAAGTTAGTAAGTTTATTTCTATCTCATATTCATTATAACCGTAACTTGTTATAAAAACAAACTGAACGTATGATAGGCTCGACAGTGTGGCGCATCATGCTGAGCATTGGGAATTGTCTCGCCACGCACCTCTGATTACCTTGCGTGCGTTCGCAGGTTCGAATCCCATGCGGGGATAGTTATGCACGAGAGAATTGCTGGACTCCTCACCACCATAGGGTGGTTCAAATAACCTCTGGTCGGTCATGGCCTCCTCCATCATGAAATTTATGCTTCAAAAAACAATTAACTGGCTAACTAATCCCATACCCAACATGGACTGGTGACGAGAGGCCGAGGTTTGCCATATGATTAAGCTCTCTTATCGCCGTTCCTTTCCTCCAGGAAAGATATATAAATTCTATCATATCCTAAATTTGTAGAAAATCGGGTTTTATGCCCCAATCTAATTCAGAGATTTTTTTAAAATTTTTGAATCCTACAGTTTCTGATATTGGATATTTTTAATCAAGAGGATGCGAGAGGAACGCTGAACTCCTCACTCTTTTAGGGTGGATCACTGGTTGGCTATGACTTCCTTCGCCATCGAGTTGACATAACTTGTCAACCATTACTGTTTCCATTACTGGACTTGTAATCAGTCGGGACTTTTGAGAGGTTGCGGTTCACTTTATTAATAAGCTGCCTGATCAATTTTCCCTTCCCGAGATAAAAATGAAAAGCCTATCGTGTGATTAAGCTGTCTCATTGGTCATCGCCTTTCTTTTCCCCCCAGCATAAATATAAAAATCATATTCCATGAGAAGGTCCTCTTATCGACATTACTCTCCCCATGTTAAATATAAAAATCCAACCCAATTATATTTGAACCCACGTACATTTGAACCCATGACAATTGCACCTGCATACTATTGCACCTATGGAAATTTTTTTGTTGTAATGGGTTCAAATGTACGGTCACCATAAAAATCCAATCCTATGATTAACTGTTTCAACGACTTTCTCATCTTACCTACTTTTCTTGCCCTGGGATAAATATTAAAGCCCTATTCCATTTTCTCCAGGCAGCTTCAGTCAGGAGTTATCACAGCTGAAGATGGCTGGGAAGGAGTGAAGTGCTCGTTGCTGCCAAGTCCTGTATATAGCCAAAGTGAGGATATTGACTCTTCTACAAAGAAGAAATGTTGCTGATGTTGTTTTGTGTTTTTATCGACAGAATTTATGGTTCAGTGAGCAAGGTATAAAAACAGAATTTCATGAGTTACGCTTGAATAAGCAAGGATTATTCAGGGTACAAAACAAAACTGTTTTTAGTATTTGCTTAAACATGAGAGCAATGCTCAAATATATGGTCACGATTCAAAAATTATTTTTCCCTACCCCCTCACCTGTAGTGTATTAAATAAGTTGGACAAAACCAAATAGTAAATCCCAGTCCTTTATGTATTTTCTTAATTATTAGTGGAAAACATAAATCACACGATTTCGAAAGAATACATAAGATCAGGGAAACATCGCCTTTGCATAACAATGTCGACTATAATCGTAAGACTCGGAAAACGGCGAACACGCATTGAAATGTTTAGTATTTTTAACATAAACAAGGGTTGCGGAAAATTTTAATATATTGAAAAGGGTCGATATTTTAAGTTTTGGAAACCCCAGAAGGGCAATGCCAAACCAGTCTTCTAACTTTTTACAATCGTTGGCCGCTCCGCATTTGGATCGGAGCTTTGCAATGCCCTAATTAATTCTGCATTAAATATGTCACATTACGTTAGTCTGGAATGATTTTGACCAGGCAATTATCATTTTTAATTGCCTTATGAATTTTGCAGGCATTGTCAAATTTGTGAGGAACTGGTCCTTAAAGTAAAAAATAGTGGTTCTTGTATTTAATTAGCTGTTTTGTGCAGAGTATTGATCAGAGTAAACATTTTAAAACACTTAAAAACAAATCATGTTGCATTACATTAGCCATGAAATGATTTTGTTCAGCCAATTATCATAATTGATTTTCTTGATTGATTACTGATTACCTCATTTTTAATCAATCAGAATAGCGGTACAGATGTCTAGGTGTTTTATCTGTGACTGCAAATCTATAAAATACGAAACTGAAAGTGTTTTTGCGAACACTAACGTAGTAGTGTCAGACTTTCTTTGCCTCGATGATAAAAATCATTATTGAAAATGTCGTCCTAAACATACCTAACTACTGCCCCTTCCTATCTGCCTTTTGTCTGACTGTAAGAATACTGCAGAAAGAATCATAAATGGCTATACTGAGTTTTTCAAATATCAAAACATACTTTTACGGATTTTATTCTGACCAAAGTCAGACTTCTTCAGACAAACAGTTTACAACAGTTGTTGTACCTGTGAAAATTTATAAAGTATGATACAATACTTTTAAACCAACAATGTACAAATAAAATCTTAATTTTGAATCATATTTGTTTATCATATATAGGGTTACCCTACTGTGTGAATATTGCTCAATTAAATTAATTGACCGTCCTTAATTAACGTGCTTTTCAATCTTTCATACTTTTTCTCTCCTATTGCACTATATTGCTTGGTACTCTTTTACTTGCCTGATCCTGCTTTGTTTTTTATTGCTGGTTTCACTTGTTATTTAGATTAACCTTGGGTAACTCAGTGAAAGTTCTATCTATCATATATTTGACATGGATAAGATTGGGCAAGTCTGATTTGCTACAATCACTAAAATTAATTTTTTTACTTTTGAGTGAGTGCTTGTAACTTTGCTCATAGATGACTCTCGCATGTTATTTAGATTATGGGTATCTTCATAGGAGCGCTTCTCAAACTGTGTTCCACAGTAAACTGCTGTTCTGCGAGCTTTTTTGAAGCGAACAGGGATCAAAATAGCGACTAAATTGGTCGTCATGACGATCTCGGTTGTACTTCGACGGCTCTGGGTATTAAATTTGTCAGCGCTTCAGAAGTATGTGCACCAAGATGGCGCACAATCTGAACCCTAACTTGGTACTATTTTCAGGTTGTGCGCCATCTTGGTGCACATACTTTGGGAGCTCCAATTTGTCTCCCAACTGGCGACAAACAGGCCTTGCTATCTAAACAGCAACCGTTGTTTGTTGATGAATTACATGCTTGTCTAACGCTTGGTTCAGATCAGCAGCGTCAAAGCCAGTCCTGCCCAGTCCTACACATCACTTGTATCAGTGGTTCCCAACCTTTTCAGGCTCGTGACCCCCTTACCGGAGGCTTTCATCACCAATGGCCCCCTGTTATCATTTCTGTGGTATTTATAGTGTTATTTAAATTTTTAGATTCCAAGTTTGTTATCATTTCTGTGGTATTTATAGTGTTATTTTAATTGTTAGATTCCAAGTTTCATTATTTTCACCAAATTTTGCGTCTAAAATTGTGGCCCCTCCAACCCCAACCCCTCTGTGGCATCCTTGGGTATCCCTCGATGACTCTGGGTATTAAATTTGTCGGCGTTCCAGAAGTATGTGTACCAATATGGAGGTAACTAATTTTGTTTGCTTACTCTACGTCAGGTTGTGTGAAGGGACTGAAACCTATGGACGGGATATATTCACTTGGATGACACAGACAGTCACCGAACTCGTAATAGAGCTAACATAAGGAAAATCGGAATAAAATTATGGCCTAACTTAACTTGGTAAACACTACGGGAGTACCCCTTGAGGGAAGGGGGCGGGAACCACTGACTTATATCTTTTTTTACCTCATTTTCTCTGTACAGAATTAATATTTTCAATAAAAATAGGTGTTGTCGTGTCTTTATCAGTGTTATTCGTTCATATTTTCATACTTTTTTATCAAATTTTCTGTGATAATCATATTATGTTTCCGTTTTATTTCCATGACTGTGTTTCGAAATTCATTCAGTTTGTTCCAGCAGTATTACACTTTCAATCATGGCTTTCCCCAGAAATGACCAGAATTAAATTATTGACTCGTTGGTATAAGGATGTTTTAAATAAGTTTCAGTTGATTTATAATGTCTTATTTTCTATTTGCGATAGTTTAAGTTGCAGGCGACAAAATCGTGTTAGGCTTGAATGCATTCTCATCAAAAATAATGGGAATTCTGACTAAATATAGAAAATTAAAAGAAAAATTTGAATTTTTACTCTGTTTAAAAATATTACTCTAAAAGGGCATCAAAGCGTACGTCTCTTGGTTTGCACACAAAAGTTTCAGACTCCCAATTCTCCGTCTTAGTATTCAAGTTGCTGAATTCAGACTTAAGTTTTATGCTGTTATGACGCTATTGATATAATTGAGTAGGGAATGGCCAACTTGAAAGGTCCATTTTTTTTTTAAATAACTATAATCCTTACATATCAATGACTGCTTGACTGTTATCATGAGAGAATCAGTGAGTGACAAGTCAATTGTTTGATATCTTCATATCTGTTTAACAATTTGCAGTATTTCTTCATCCTAGTTTTACGGTACTTTTAATTTTTATTACCTCTCAAATAATCAGTTTTTATTTATTTTATTTGAACATATTTGCACCCAAACTAAACAGCATACAAGGCCATGCATCCGTGTAATTTTACTGGCCATTTTACCTTATCGATTTGGAAATTTTGGTTCAGGGTATAATTAAACCGTTTTGTCGACTTTTCCCAAAAGAGCACCCACAAGCCAGGGTTCCTAAATCCCGACTCCTCCATCAAGGGGGGGAGGTACAAGTAAAGCCCTTGCTAGGTACCATTTTTGCTTTGTTTGACAGCGTTAATATTATTACACATAGCGTATTCAACAGAACTGATGGAAACGTGACAATGCAAAAAACTAATCTCATACCCAACATGGGGATAGTAACCGGTTGATAGGCCATGCTTCGCCATATGATTAAGCCGTCTTGTCGGCTTTCCTCTCCGATGGTATAATATTGCTACAAATATTTTACAAACATATGCTGACCATATTACACCTTCATTTCACATCGTATTTTTGATGTCCTAAACGTTACTTTTTTTGTGTAAATTTTCCATGTTTTGAACTGTGTTTTATTTCATTTTTTCTTAACAAGCTGGTGAATAAGCACTGTTATTATTTTTTGTTGTAAATTGTTTTCGAAATCGAATTATTGGAAATTGTAGCTTGTAATTTTTGAAGGTTGTCACGTTTGTAAATTTCAGTTCAGTAACGGATTGACGCGACGGTCGGCGCAGAAAAACGTACATAGATAACCCAACATTTTTGATAGTCAGTCAGTAGTTTATTTTATCACAAACCGAATGTAAACATTGACGAACAAAATTGAAAAAATGAAAAATTACATTTCAGTGTGAAGGGAGACGCGATAAACCAGAGATGGTTATCGAGCAGCGTCACCTTTGAGGCAGTGAGTCTAATATTAAATCATAATGAGAAAGAAGTCAAACCTAGAATACTAACAAAAGCCGGACTTGAGACGCCGTTAAGCGACCCGGTAACCCGGGTCGTTTTTTTTGTATAATGACATAATACTATGCTTACTCTTGCTTTTTGCTCCGAAGTCCGAACAAGGCTAGATAAATGAAACCACTGATATCTACAATATCTTAAAGAATCTCCATACAGACGTACTTCGCTGTCGACTTATCCAACCTACATAAGCGTGACTTTCCATCTATCCTCGTTGGTTGATTTGGTGGAAGGATTGTTCCATTACATTTCGACCCGTACTTTGAACCCACGACAATTGGACCTATGGAAATTTGTTCCTACGGATATTTGAACCCATACTAGCCCTAACCCATTTTGTGGCAATTTGTGACAAACTCGTAGGGCGACTTTAGGTCAAGTCTCTGGGTATATTTTGTCATCATATATTGGTAAGAGCTGAAAATACTGCCTCGCACATGTGGGTCGTTGCAAAAAGCAATATAATTTTTAATTGCTTTTTCTAACAGCAATGGATCTTCGTCCGCAACGCTCAACCAAAAAAAGAATTGATTTTTAATTTGAATCCATCAGACTCTTTTCATATCGTTGCGGACCCCTGTGCAGTCATCACGCACCCCAGTTTGGGAAACTCTGGTTTGGGTAGCCTATTTCCTCCTATTTCAAATAAGCATTTCAATTGTTGTATTGTAACGAGTTTAATTCAATATAACAATCTACCAAGTTGAAAAACCAAGATGAGTTCTTATAACACACAACACATGAAGATAGAGAAGATCGACACGACCATTACATCTTGTGACATGTTGCATAAACGATAATTCAGTCTTTGGTTCAATGTAGGTTTTGGCCCAATTAGTAACAACGTGTTATAATTTACAGCGATTTTTCCGGATTAGAAAATTCTTTTTGACCAGTTGGGATTTATTAGATTCATCATTTTCATGGTTACTGTTATAATTACTAATATTCCCTACAGTGGCATCGGGTTGACCCCGACTTGGTAAATATCGATATAAAGCATAAGCAATTTTATATGCTACTGTACATGTGTGCCAAGTTTCATGCTTGCATCCAAAAGTGCATGATTTTACCTCTTATCCGTTAGACTAGGAAGCATTCCTACCTTCGGAAAAGGTTGAGTCAAAGTTCGAAAATAAATCGAGAAACTAGCCCAATCAAATTATTTATAGCGGTCAAAGTAAGCAACCAACATACGAGAACTAGGAATGTATTTCGCCCTTTGTTATAGTGAACCGCGATGAGCCAAGATATAAAAATGTCAAAATCTCTCCCCTAGCGGCAATTCTATTCCCAAGAAATAGGCAAGAGGCTTTATTGTTATAACCAAAACGAAGTCCAATTTAGATTCGTATCTGAGACGAAGGTCGGCTGTGGGGGTGTTCACCAACGTAGTCCATGCACAAAACCAGACGGTGATGAGGTAAACCTTTACGAAATTGTAGGTCAACGAGATCAGCCACGGAATCCACCCCTTTTTCTAAAGGAAATACTCCATTTGAATACTGAGTAACCACGGAATAGTTCTTTACGGCCTATTAATAAATATATGTCAGAAGAAGTCGTGAAATGACTCAACAACTATTTAGAAATGAAAGTATTCAACGCTCCTGAAGTATGTGCACCAAGATGGCGGACAGCATAACGTAGCATGTCTACCAGGTTAGGATAAGGCCATAATTTGATTCAAATTTTCCTTACTTTAGTTCCTTACTTTAGTACTTTAGCAAATATAAATATATTGAAAGGCGTATACTAAGTATTCTTTATGCTTCGTGTTAGTACTATATATATATACAAGCCCTGTTAGGTCGGGCTAAGCGTTCATACGTTCGTCACCGCACCTCAGATGATCCTGCGCGGGGTCGCAGGTTCGAATCCAATGCGGGGATATTTATGTGCGAGAGGATTGCTGGACTCCTCGCCGCCTCGCTTCCTTTACCATCAGGTCCATTCTTTCGAAAAACAAATAACTAACTAATCCCATATACCCGACATGGAATGGTAATCGGACGAGAGGCCGTGGTTCGCCATATGGTTAAGCCGTTTTATCGGTTTTCTTCTCTCCGGGATAAATTTTTAAATTCTATTTTATATTTCTTGTAGGCAACAACTGAATACCTGATCTTTTTCCTGAACATTGAGCAAACGGATAATTGTGTAATTAACTTGAATTGCATCGTGATCATAAGATGTCTGGGAATAGTCAGTGTCATTACAAGCAGGACAATACGTTCTGAAAATAAAAATAGAAGGCGTATAACGAGAGTTATGCTCAAATATATGAACATGCGGAGGTCTTAACTTTTCCAGGTCCTGTGAGGATCATCAATTATTATCCATGATTGAGTAATACCAAGTTAATACCAACGGACCCGAGTCACTCTTATATTACCGATCAGGTACCAATGTCTAACGTTCCCCATAAAAAAACTTCCCACTTTTGCTAGTCATAAGCAACGATTTTTCCTTAACTGACAAAAATATGAAAATCCTACCCATCTGGTCCTACTTGCTCGAAAGTGCAAACTTTGCAAAAGGTGTGCTGGCATCGAAGCATTCGAGGTTCCCTCAGTCCAGTTGTTTCGAATCTTGTTTTACAAGAAGAGCAACTCAATATTTCATCCATTCTTTATTTATCTATTCGGACAGAAATTAATTGCTATCAGTGATTCCAAACCAGAGGGGTAATTTTGGCAATTTTGACAGGGTAATCAGGACGGGGTCTCGTGCTGTTACATACCTGAATAACTTCTAGTTTGCGTGGCTAAACAATTATTGGATATATCATTCCTGACCCCCACCTGATTGCTTCATAAAAAAATTACGTCACTGCGACTGCAAAGTTACTGAATGGAATACGGGTACTCCTGAAATATGTATGTGAACCAAGATATCGGACACCGGAACGTAGTATGTGTACCAAGTTAGGGTTAGGCCGTATGTTTTTACGGTTCGGGGGAGTTTGGGGACTAGCCAAGTGGCTCCTGTAGTATTTGTACCTGGAATTATGGCCTAACCTTGTACACATACTACGTTTTGGTGTCCGTCATCGTGGTTCACATACTTCGGGATTACTGTGAATTGTGCGTATGTATATACACGCTTGGTCTAATAATGCGTCTCCTGAAGTGGGCAAAACGCCCCTTGGTGGGTGTTTTCGATAACTGTACGGTCACTGAAGTGAAATTGGGGGACGCTGACTGTCGGATTGGGCAATTATAAATTTCTTGAGAGGCGTATCTCATTACAATGCGATATTGAACTCTTCAACCAAAGTTCAGTGTTTCATATTAATCGTTCGAAATCAAAATACGAGGTGCAGGAGAAAGTTTTAAACTAGACTAGTGATAAATGGAGAATAAATATATTTGAAAGTTTTAGTGAGGGGGGGGGGGGTATGGGGTTGTTAGTCAAAAAGTAATCTAGGAGGGAGTTGCAAGAAAACGCTGCAAGAAAAGTTTGGGAAACGCTGCTCTAACATGAGTCTACCTCCTAGACATCCTAGCATTTCCCCATATAGTTTCTGTTATATATATTATGAAGGGTGTTTCGAAAGTAATGCAAACATAACAGAAGTTAAGATGAAATGCTACCAAAAACATTTAACGACTGACAATTTTTAACAGTATTGAAATACGATAAAATGCCATTTAAACATTTTACGACTGACGCTTTTAACAGTTACTTTTCTCTTTCCTCTTGGACAAAATGACCTTCATTCATCATTTTTTACTTTAAACATACTTGCTGAACGCTAACATTTCAACGACTGATCGCGACTCGAATAATTTCGTACGCTAATGAACTGTTTGTAAGGAGCATAGCCCAGACACACTGGGTTTATTAATTAATATTTGACTCAATTATGCAATTGAATAAACAACGCTCGATACCGAGAAAATACTCTCGCCTAATTGTTTAATTTTAACGATGAATTTTTTCTCGACCTTTGACCCCGGAATGATTCGTCCTGTGGTTTAGGTCAGGCGTGTGCAACTTTTTATCGCAATGGGCCAAAACGGAAGAATTGTGGTGAGACTGAGGGCCGGATCATCGAACAACTCATAGGTTTTCCAGCTACTCGAAGTTGAGCTACCAAGTGCCCAACTGTAAGCTGATTCCGTCAGCGTCAGTTTTGAAATATATACAGCTCACAGAAGCATTCGTGATGCCGAGAAAGAGACTACGCCTATGTTGACGCACCGGGAAAAACGTTTGAAACACTTTTTGTCTGCGCTAACCTTTCAAAGATTCAGTGGGTGTAGCCGGCGGTGAGAGTGTTTTTTTATAAACGGGTTCCCTTTGTATCAAACTTGCAAACAACGGGTACTCTCCTTCAGAAATATATGTAACTCACTTGACATATATGACTCATATGTAACTTTACTCGACGAGTCTTGTATGTCATACAATATATTATCACAAGTCTACAATTTATAAAATAGAATTAAAATTTATATTGGTAAAATGTAGACAAATATACATGGAATTAGCGTGGTCTATGAAAGTGCGAAGGTCACTCATATACATGGAATTAGCGTGGTCTATGAAAGTGCGAAGGCCACTCTAGTCACAAAAGTTGGAGTTGGCTTGGTCTGACTTCGGTCAGGCTATGAGAAAATGCGTTTATGGATAGAGCTTGTTAAATAAGAGAGAAAGAGAGAGATTTCGTTATCACAAACAATGTCAACACAATGATACAATGTCACGTGTTTTTGTCAGCAACCAACAACATAAAATATATAATTTAACAATATCTGGTCGATTGTTATTTGTGAGGGTCGGTATACAAGATCGGTTAGGTCACCGTGCCTCTTGGCTCATAATAATATATAGTATGAGAACTAATTCGGTGCTCCCGAAGAATGCGAACCAAGATGGCGGACATCGGAACGTAACATGGGTAACAGGTTAGGGTTAGGCGATAATTTTTTTCCAATTTTCCTTATTTTAGTCCTATTATAAGTTCGAAGACTAGCCAAGAGCCTCCCGTAGTATTTATACCTAAAATTATGGCCTAATCCTAACCTAGTACACATATCACATTCCGATGTCCGCCATCTTGGTTCGCATACTTCAGGAGCCCCACTGATTCTTTTTTTGCATATATGTCCTCAAACAGATAAAATATACTTTTCTCGAACGTTGATTAAGATAAAAATGTATAAACATAAATCAAATAGAAAAACAAAAAAATCCTAAAATAAGAAAAATATATAGGAAGACTACAATCAAGGGAGGGCCACAGGGGCAGCTGCCTCGGTCAACACTCGGTTGTAGGGAGCAACATTCTAATTCCTAAATATATAGGTTTGTTTTTGGACACGTCAGTGTACATAACGATCGTTTCAATATTATGTTGTTGTTATTATTATTATCTTTCGTCATGATGAAATCGCTTTTCTCTTCGAATACTGGACCAATTGCTTTGAAATTTTCAGTGGTTAAGAGATTGATTTTTTTGCCAGAAGGCTATAACTTTTACTTATTTCAAAAATTTCTGTGGACTTCAAGAGATTAGTTTTTTATGTGTCAGAATAAAAAATAGCGACACCTTGTTACGTGTCCATATATTTAAGCACAGCTTTCTTGTTTTCAGTATGGAGGTCTAATCCAGGGGCATTCAACTTCTAATACAGGAGGGCCAGTTACAAATGACTTGGAGAAACTGCGGGCCGCACTTTTAATAAACATGGGCCATCTAGTAGTTTTAGACACAAAAAATTTTGATTACATGGAGGGCTCGAAAGAAATTAGATAAAAAAACAAGAGAGCTACGCCCAAATATATAGACACGTCTGTTCGCAGTACAGTACGGTTTACCGTACCGTCAGATCACAGTCTACAAATATATTCACAGTCGGACACAAAATAGCGTCCGATGTCCGCAGAACGTTCAGTGACGTCATAGCAAACAAAAACAAATCTCACAGAGATAACAGAAATATCTGAAATAAATAAAAGTAATGGCCTTCTGAAGAAAAATTTTATCTTCAACCACTAAAAATTTCGAAGCAATTGGTCCAGTGATCAAAGAGGAAAAGCGGTTTTTTATTATTTCCACTAGGTGCCCAAAAAGTGTCAAAGAACAACAGGAACAACAAAACGATCGTTATGTCCACTAAACGTGTCCAAAAATATAAAATAGCTTTCCAGCGGCTTTCCCATTCAATTGCGCTGAAAATTCGAAATACGTTAGTCCAGGGGTGTGCAACCTTTAATACAAGAGGGCCAGATACAAGTAAATGGAGGAATCCGCGGGCCGCAACTTAACATAAGCTTCTAGTAGTTGCAGACACGAAAATTTTGGTTATTGATCTTAATATGACATGCGTTGTTCGCACAAGCTAGTTGTCAGGGCATTGTAACGTCATAGGCGTAGATAAATTGGACTTAGGATTGGAATTACTCACACGAACCAAATTAAATTGAAAACTCGTTTAGCGGGAGCACGTCATTCAAAATTGCCATTACTCCGCGGGCCGCCTAAGTTTTCCTTGAAGGACGCATAAGTTTGTAATGAGGGCCGCATTTGGCCCGCGGGCAGCAGGTTGCAAACTCCTGGTTTAATTAATAATAGTACAAATATATCACTCTTATTAATGTTCAATTTATTCATTTTCATCTATATCAACATCTTTAATTTTTTTTATCCATCGAATTATTTTTAAAGTCAGGTATAAGGGATATGTATTATTAGCAGAAAATCGCCAGCACAGCACAAAAGTTCGGCACAGTCCTGCCTGCAATCGAAATAGGTTGAGTCAAAGTTTTAGGCTCTTCCGAATAAATACCTATCGAACTCATCTGAAACTGAAACAAAAAGAAACGAAAATATGATATTTGCAAAGACGGCCACATGTTATTAATGTGAATCGACAAACTCCAAAATATCAAAACAAGACCCATTTCATTATCTGGCAGTTGCATGTCCACAAAATAGGCGAAAGGCATTTTTGCCATTTCATAAATAAAAACCCATTTCGATTCGTATTTGCGCAGGAGGTTGTGTGTAGTTGTGGTCTTCAATGTGCGATACATGCAAAGCCAGACTGTGATGAGATAAATTTTTACGATATTGAAGGCCAAGGGTCGCAGCCATGGAACTCTCTTTCCTATAAAAAAAATACTTCATTTTGAATTCAGTACTAAGATAGACAAGTCGAGTCAGGTTTATTTTTTTCAAACAGTAATTACGAGAAATTGATGATTTACAGTTTTACTGGGGAAGGGAAGGATATATCACTACGGCCTATAATAGATAAGATAAGTTTATTTCGACTCCATAATCAGCATAAATGGCGATAAGATGATTGATAAAAAAAAGTAAATAAAAACTAATTATGAAATCAGACTATCGTTTATGTGCCGTGATTGTATGTGCCAACTGTCCTGCTTCAAGTCTCGTGCCAATCTGGCAATACAAATTCCTAATTCATTTAAGGTGTATTTTTTGTACGTTGAGAAGATTAACGGCTGATTACTAGGGCTGGGCATTTTCGAATACTTGATGATTTCAGAATCGAATCGAATATTTTTTTCGAATCGAATCTCGCAACTTTCCTATTATATTAGGTCATCCAGACACATAAATCACTGAAACATAGAGTGCGTCACTCAGGCAGATTGCTGAGCGTTCCACACACAATAAAAAAGACGGGTACTCCTGAAGTATGGGCACCAAGATGTCGCACAACCTGAACCCTAACCTGGTACACAAC